AGCAACCAAGCTTTTCTCGGACTGCGTCGTCGTTGTTGCTGTTGTTGTTGTTGTTGTTGTTGTTGTTGTTGTTGTTGTTGTTGTGGTCGTCGTCGTCGTCGTCGTCGTTGTTGTTGTTGTCGTCGTTGTTGTTGTTGTTGTTGTTGTTGTTGGTGCTGCTGCTGCTGCTGCTGCTGCTGCTGCTGCTGCTGCTGCTGGTGTTGTTGTTGTTGTTGTTGTTGTTGTTGTGGGTGATCCTTTGTTTGGTCATTCAACCTCAAATCTCAAACCCTGAACACTGTTCCCGAGCGTCGGGCCAGAAGACGCTTCCTCTCCGAACGCCCCAGAAGCTCTCCCAAAGCTTGAAATTGCAAGACTCCGAGCACAAAGCTGTAAGGACTTCAAGGGCTTTAGCAAGCTTGTTCAGGTTTTTCGATAGGTTATCTGTTTCATATTCATGTGGATTTATGGCCTTGACTTAGTTCAGGGTAGACCTCACATCACTCGAGGTTTTGAAACCGTCGGGAACGGCATCGCTGATGCGGCAGGGTCCGTCGCCGACGTGGCAGGGGACATTGGCTCAGGCTTGTCTGGGTTGAGGGTTTAGGGTGTAGGTTTAGGGTTGAGGTTGAGGATTGCAGGTCGCTGTGCATTCATGTTGCGAAGAGTTGTGTTGGCACCACGGATCGCAACAGGTAGTCGACAAGGGGATATGGCCAGCGTACGCTGACCCCAGTGCACACGCACACGCGCATCTTTATGAATTTTCCTCAGCAGCGACGGGCCGTTGTGCCCGCAGCAGCTTATGATTTACTCAAACTGACAGATTGTCCTCCATCGCATAGGCCACCATGCCTGGGAACGTGTTTGTTAAGCTGCTGTGTGTCTGCCGCATGTAGTCAGAGCTTTGTGCTGTGATGAACCGTGTTTGCTACGCCTACTCCTGTTTTCTGTTGGGTTTCATCCTCCTCCAGCCGTTGACAATAGTCTCAAGCATGCCTCATGCGGACATGTGGTGAGAACCCCACGAGCTCTGAAATCCTAAGACTTCGACCTTAGACCCATGCGAGCATTCGACGATGAACCCTCAAATTCCACCATCCTCAAACTATGTCAGGCTACCCTGGGATTGCTTTGCATGGGGCTAGCTTTCGAACTGGATCTGGTACAGCCCTACACCTACATGTTCGTGTTACGCTTCGGCGTGTAGAATAGCTATATGAATAGTTGTAATTTTCTGGTTTACGTGGCAGCGAGCAGGCATCGCCCATGTGGGCTTGACTGTGGGAGACTACGTGGGAAACGCCGCTGTCATTGTCGGCAACTCTATCGTCGAGGCTGCCGAGACCTCCATCGATGCACTGCCGAACGAAATCAAGGACGGGGCACCGGGGCATCAAAGCCCTTGGGCATCGGTTGTCGTATACTGGAGTTGAGTACATGGGCTGCTCTTGGAAGCAGCCAGTCCAGTCCAAGCGGGAAGTGACAAGTAATGACATTTCCCAAGCCTAATGAGAAGCCCTGTCTTCGTGTCATCTCGTGTCCGCGGCATCCAGAAACATGTCAACACACATCGATGTCCATGAACCAGTGACTGCAAATCTGCCGTCTCGAATTTGAATCGCACACCACAGCGATATAACCGGGAACTGCCACAGATCGAAAGGCAAACCGCACTTGTAAGTCTCAAGCATTTGGATCTGAAACTACGAAAACTGCATCGGCAACCGAGCACACAATATCACGAACCGCCCAACTATGGTCCTATAGAATTCTGCTTCGCCATTCAGTCCGTGGTGTCGGTTGCCGATTCCATTAAAAGGTGTGGGATTCAATCGTTTCATGTACCGGCTTTTGCGCTGATCGTGGCGTCCCCATACCTTCAACAGCACCAAGTATGATGCCAGAGTGACTTGGGGTTTGGGGTTTAGATCTTTCTGTTTGGGTTTAGGATGTTGGACCAGGGCGTTATCCTGTCCCTCACACTTTGTGGACGCACTACTGTCCCTCTACTGGTAGTGTAAACTAACTCGAAAGCTTCGAGAACCGAGGCTGGACTCGACTAACTCTAAACAACCTGGTGTGAAGATCTCCTGCAACTGCTGCAAAACCCCAACCCTCGGCACTAGCCCGAAACATGCAGCCCAAAACTCTTAATCTTGACTCTTTGGAAGCTTATCAACTTTTCATGGAACCTGGTTCAGCAGGTATGCAAAGACCGGAAACCATGCGAATGATATAGTTTCTAGCAGCTGAAGATAGCCTGAATAGTAGTCATCAGAATTAAATTAGGCTGAGAAATTCAACCAACAACAGTAGCAACAATGATAAGAACATTGGAGTAACATTAAACACCCTCAGAGGCGTAGCTCAACAACAACAACAACAACAGCAACAACAACAACAACAACAACAACAACAGCAGTACACAAATACTGAGAACAACAGGAGCATCAGTAATCATGGTAAGAAAACCCTAAACCCTAACCCTAAACCCTAAGCCCTAAGCCTCCTTCATGAGAACTCCCTCAGGATGCAGCTTCCACACTTGGAGACGTCGCCGTGGCTGCCGGAGGGGCTGTTGCTGACGTCGGCGACGCTCAGCCTTCTAAGGGTTCGGGTTTAAGGGGGTTCGAGATTTAACGGGTTTGGGCCTCTAGGACATTCAGGGACGTGTGGTGATTGGATCTCCCACTCAAAGCTGATGTCTGTGGTTGCCTCATGAGGGTCTTTAGGTTGAAGGGCTACAGGGCTTCACATTTGGCGGGCTGAGGGTTGAGAGCTTAGGGCCGAGAGCGAGAGACAAAGAGAGCGAGAGAGAAATACGCATATAAGCAGAAATGTATGTACATAAGTAATAGTAAGTAGATAAATAGATGTAATATATCTATCTATCCATCTATCTACCTATCTACCTATCTTTTTTACTTCCTATCGGTCTTGTTTGATCTGATCTCATCTTATCTTATCTTACCTTATCGTATCTACGTATCTATCTATCTATCTATCTATCTATCCTATATTTGTTATCTTCTGTTATCTTATCTTACATTATCTTATGTTTCTGTATAGAAAGTATAATACACATAAATTTGTAGTGTTGTGCTGTGACGGGGTTTCTGAGTTTGCTACACGATAAAGTTCCGAGAAGCACAGGTTGCGGGACTGGGCGGTTAAGCACCGAAGATACACTAGCCGTAGCCCAGCCGCAAATTCTCCGAGCCACCTTGAACCGTAGAACCTCGACCCAGCCCCAAATCCCTACCATATACACAGGTCAACATCCCTGCTGTTTAGGGTTTTGGGCTCAGGGTTCATGGAGGTTTTGAAATTGCAGGGTTTTGGCTGCGCCGGATTTCGGCCTTAAGGCTTATTGGGTCCAGGGCGCTCGAAGTTTCTTTGGCATTGAGATCAGGGACCGAAGGGCAACAGTGCAAGACCCCTGGATGTTGGCAAACTGTTTCCAAAGCTGAGACAGCAACTTCCTCGGCTGTGGCTATTGCCAATGACGATGTGCGTGCATTGACTTCTACCTGCCCATGAGCCTCCCAATAGACTTTCTAGACAGCGACGCGCATGATCGGTTCTTTCAGTGCTAGCCCGAACTTAAGCTGCACATGTTGGAAGTTGCGTTGTTCTGAAGGTGGGGCCGAAAAAATGCGCCTGACATCTGGGGTCCCTGCACCCCAAACCCGAAATCCTTAAACCGTACAGAGGGTCTCCAAGTTCTTGATTTGCGATCTAAGACCACATGCTGAGCTCTGGGCTTAACGATGGCGGATCCTGACATGCTGCATCTTGAGTGAATCCGACTACAACATCAGTATCCTCAATTTGGGGTAATCACAAAGACCTGTCCCCCAAACGGGGGATGCCAGAAAAGTCTAGAAGTGCGAAACCCTTACGTCGATGTGGTCTTCAGAACCCTAAGACTTAAAACCCCAAGCGTCAGATCCAAAGAAACCCTAAGCCCTTAGCTCGAAGCCCAGAACCCCTAAGCCCGAAATCCCTAAATTCCTAAGCCTGAAGATCACTTAAAGAACTCTTGTATTGCATGTATACACACATATATATATATATATATACATATGTATATTATATATATATATATGCATATATACACTTACATATTTATGTATTTATATTGTTTGAATTTGTTTTGAAAAAGCCCTCAAGGAAATCGTGGCCGACGCAGCCGTGGATTTGGCCGGGGATGCGCTCGATGCGGCCGAGCACTCCATAGCGCAGGCCAGCAGCCAAGTGGAGCCTTTTAAGTGCTGGGCTCTGGGTTTAGTGGGTTTAGGGGCCCGTGCTTTAGGGTTTAGTGGGTTTAGGGGCCCGTGCTTTAGGGT